TAATGAGACACACAAGCAGACAGAACGAGAGAACAAGAGAAAGGCAACACACACACACACACACACGAGACACAATCTTACCACCACATCACATAAATACTAACCCAACAATTATTTCTGTCTCCAGCACGTCTAGAATTGCACACTAGGTAACCCACCCAAAAAGACAACCGCGTGAGCAAAGGAGAGTTGTTCCGACCTGTGTGACTAAGACAGGAGAGCCTTACACTGTTTAATAAGCACCATGATACAGCTGTAGTATAGTTCTTAGGCCCCTTTCACACTAAGCTGTTTCTCGCCGCATCTAGATGTGGTGCGGTGCCGGACACAGCAGTCGACTGATAGTTCTTTGTACCTCTTCACACTGTGCGGTTGTGTCGACTTCGCCGGTCCGACGCCGTATTGCATGTGCGGCGTCCCACCGGACTTGTCCTGTACCGCGCCCGTTCGCTGCAAACTGTAGACAAGAGTCCAAAGTTGGGTTTCTGTACGCGGCAGCCGGAAGAATGTGCGGCAGAAAACCGTGGTCTCTCCGGTGCGGCGACCGCATCTAGGTGCTGCGAAGAACCGCATAGTGTGAAATAGGCCTTAGGGTCGGAAGAGCAAGATCACCTGCAATGCTCATTAATATTAGCATCGACAACCCCAAAGGTTCTTTATGATTTTAAGGTCAAAGCCGCGGGTTTGAGGGGAAAACGAAATGATTTAGCACCTGGCTCGAGTCCACTTTGTGCATGCCGGTAAAGAACAGTAATAGAGAATGTTATATAAGCTGTGTTAACTCTGGTTGGACAAAAATTTATCTCAGTCAGTCAGTAAGTCAAGACTCGTATTCATAGAGTTGTCAGACGCATTACCAGTTACCCCCATGACCTGGACCTTTGACCCATGACTTTCAAAGGTTAGTCAGGCCTGGAACACCGCAGTAGCACTCGCTGTATGTGGTTAGTCAATTTTCATTCATCCAGTTTTAATATATCTTGTATAAAAGGTCGAGACGGACGGGCAACCAAATATGTCTGGGTATCGTAATGGCAGGGGAGGGGGTACAAAAAGCTATACTCAGAGAACAACTAATTCTCAAATGTACGGTATATAAACACAAACAGATAAGGAATCTTGATTACGATGGATAACAGTGAAATGCTTTAAATACAGGCACAGTAGTCTCAATATTTCGCAGCATTTGAGACCAAGCTCAGTGCGGAGTAGTGAACTTTACGGAATAATGAGAGTAGATCCACACAACCCTGACAGCCATCATGAATAGTCTACAACTGCATGTATGTATGTATGTATGTATGTATGTATGTATGTATGTATGTATGTATGTATGTATACTGTCATGTAGTAAACTACATCCAAAAGTATTGTAATGTCAAGTTCCTGTATCGACGGTGATATGGCAGGTGGTGAATGACTTTCTTAAATAACATGTACTGTAAATGGGAAAATTATTTCGTCCCCAGCATAAGTAAGTTTGTCTGGTCAAAGGTGAAAAAAAAAAGATTCTATAAGAAACCTTAATAAATCTCTTATTAATAAACTATGTGCTCTAGTGCCACCGTCATAGTAAAATGTCCCAACATAACATACTATGAAGTGCCCCAACACCGACACACTACCCAACATTAGTTTCTGTTGTCGTATAAAGTAAGCAAGCCTCTGCCGCCTGGCGTCACCGTCACCGAAATCATAAAAGAATTACACAGAAAAATTCAGATTTTTTTTTAAGTAGTTAATTTTTGCATACATAAACATATTAAGATAAAATTTGTTTGGCGCAACACAATGAAGAAGAAAAAACATTAATTAATTTTTAGTAAGAGACAAAATAACACTATTACGGCATATATTTTTTGCGTAACACAAGGTAAAAAAAAACACTATAAATTAATTTTTGCGTAACACAATTAAAGTAATGAGGCCACTTTTTCTGGTGAGGGGAGCCCTTAAGTGGCGTTCTCCATTATTGTACACACGGTAATTATCCTGTTATCTGGGTCGTTCACATCTCCTTCATAAAGTACAGGTGGCGTGACTCCCGTCTTATCCCACCATCTCTAGCATTACAGGCGGCAAGAGAGAGCTATACAGTGCTACGTGCTTCTGTGTGGATAAAACACCGCAAAATGTGTTGCTACGGCCCTTTGTACACACACACACACACACACACACACACACACACACACACACACACACACAAGTTGCACACATGTGTGTGTGTGTGTACACACTTACACACACACACACTACTTTCACACACCCTCACCTTACCCTCCCCTTACCCCTCCCTCCTTCTAACCATCCATGGCACTTCTCCTTTCCGTATCTCCCTCCCTCCACCTAACCATCCACACAAACACTCTCTCTCTCTCTCTTCCCCCCCTCTACCTCCCTCTCTCCCTCTTTCCCCCTCCTCCCTCATCCTCCGTTTTTTCCCTCTGCCTTATCTCCTCCCCTCCTCCATCCTCTCTAACTCTTTTGTTAAGCTTCTCTTCCTACCAGATTTATCCGCTGTGTCAACCTCTCCCTTTTTGTTTCTTTCAGTCTTCTTTTGTCTCTCTCTACTCCCTGTTTTATTACCGTTTGTCTCTCTCTACTCCCTGTTTTATTACTGTTTGTCTCTCTCTACTCCCTGTTTTATTACCGTTTGTCTCTCTCTACTCCCTGTTTTATTACTGTTTGTCTCTCTCTACTCCCTGTTTTTGTTTGTCTCTCTCTACTCCCTGTTTTATTACCTGTCTCTCTACTCCCTGTTTTATTACTGTTTTGTCTCTCTCTACTCCCTGTTTTATTACCGTTTGTCTCTCTCTACTCCCTGTTGTATTACCGTTTGTCTCTCTCTACTCCCTGTTTTATTACTGTTTGTCTCTCTCTACTCCCTGTTTTATTACTGTGTGTCTCTCTCTACTCCCTGTTGTATTACCGTTTGTCTCTCTCTACTCCCTGTTGTATTACCGTTTGTCTCTCTCTACTCCCTGTTTTATTACCGTTTGTCTCTCTCTACTCCCTGTTTTATTATCTTCTGCCTCTCCTACCTCTTTTATTTTATCTTTCTATCTTTTCATATTTATGTATATCTTTTAAGCGTGTTTTTGTATCTATCTCATTTATCCTCTTCTTTACCCTCAGCACAACATTCATACCATTATTGTTTTCTTTCTCTGTATGTATCATCCTTTATCAGCTTTTTCCTATTTCCTTCATTTCTTCATTGTGATTTATTCGTTATTAAGTACCTCTCTTCCTGTCATCTGTGTGTTGGTGCCAGTGTCAGCCTGTCTGTTGTTCGAGTGTCTGTCTGTCTGTCTGTCTGTCTGTCTGTCTGTCTGTCTGTCCGTGTTTCGGTCTGTCTGTCTGCCCGTGTTTCGGTCTGTCTGTTAGCCTGTCCGTATGTTGATCTAGCTCTCGGTGAGTGGAATAGGTGAGAGAAGAAGAAGAAGGTGTAAAGGAAGTAGACGGGGCCAAGTGAGAAAGAGAGGGGAAGTGAGAGGGGAAGAGAAAGGGGGGAAAGGCGGTGGAACAATGAACCATGATGAGAGAGAGAGAGAGAGAGAGAGAGACGTAACGAGAATACAGCAGGATACAAACAATATGTCTCACTTATCTTATATCTCTCACCTTCCTTCCATCTCTCTCACCCTCCCTTGTCACTTGTCCCTCTCACTCGTCCTCTCACTTTCCCCTGTTCCTTTTATCTTCGACCTCCACTTCCTATCACTCTTTTGTTTCCTTTTCCCTCTACTTCATCGTTCTTCCTCCACATACACCTTTACCCCCCCTCCCTCCCTTATCTCTCACCTCCCCCATTATCCTATCTACTAACCCTTACTTTTCTCCCTTCTCCCTCCCCATCCTTCCCACTACCCTATCTAGCACTCTCTCTCTCTCTCTCTCTCTCTCTCTCTCTCTCTGTCTCTCTCTCTCTCCTTTACGTCTCTCAAAAAGTTGTGTTATTGTTTCATTCCCAGGATTATCTCCGAATACCAAAAGTAAATGTTTATGCAGAAGATATAACAATCCTGGGGGAAAAAATCAAGCCAAAACTTGGGGCAGAAAATTGAAGATCATATGAAACCGAAAGTGAAAGTTTTAAAATAAATCTACAGACTTGGTGAAACTTTCCGGGATTCTTTTTTTTTAAATACGAAAAAATGTAATTGGAAGTTTTGAACCAGAGAAAATAATTATAGATTATTTTCATAGTTAAGTGATCTGTAGGTGAACGCCCTAATTTAGTGATTATTATACGTCCTGGACATTTTTTTTTATAATAACAATAATAACAATAATAAATAATAATAATAATAATAATAATAATAATAATAATAATAATAATAATAATAATAATGATAATAATAATAAGAATAATAGAACAAGAACAACAACAACAACAACTATGTAACAACAATAACCATATAACTGAACTGTGCAACTATTAACAACAAAATATAACAACAGCAATAATTATAGTAGTAATAATGACAAAAACTACACGACACACACACATCCTATACAGACACACTAACTAACATCCTTCACAGACACACTAACTAACATCCTTCACAGACACACTAACTAACATCCTTCACAGACACACTAACTAACATCCTTCACAGACACACTAACTAACATCCTTCACAGACACACTAACTAACATCCTTCACAGACACACTAACTAACATCCTTCACAGACACACTAACTAACATCCTTCACAGACACACTAACTAACATCCTTCACAGACACACTAACTAACATCCTTCACAGACACACTAACTAACATCCTTCACAGACACACTAACTAACATCCTTCACAGACACACTAACTAACATCCTTCACAGACACACTAACTAACATCCTTCACAGACACACTAACTAACATCCTTCACAGACACACTAACTAACATCCTTCACAGACACACTAACTAACATCCTTCACAGACACACTAACTAACATCCTAACTCACTCGTTTCTCTCATGTGTTCGCAGGAGGGAGAGTGAAGATGTCTTCCAAGCTGCTGCTGTACTTGACGACCACCATCCTCCTGAGCAGGGGTGAGCTACCTTAACTTTACGAGAGAGAGAGAGAGAGAGAGATGGGGGGGTACGGTAAATATTAGGAGGGAGGAGAATGAATAGGGAAAGAGAGGAGTTGGAAGGTAAAAGAGGAGAGAGAGAGAGAGAGAATATGAATAGAAGGAAAGAAAGAAGAGATGGGTAAAGACTGGGAAAGGATGAATAGAAGAGAGAGAGAGAGACAGAGAATATGATTGGGTAGAAGTAGATGGGTAAGACTGGGAAAGGATGAATAGAAGAGGAATGTGGGTAGAAGTGAAAGAGCGAGAAAAGAAGAGATGGGTAAAGACTGGGAAAAGATGAATAAGAAGAGTAGAATGGAGGGATAAAGGATGGATATGGAAGAGAGAAGGTTGGGAGGTAAAGGAGGGATGAGGCAGAGCAAGGAAGATAGAGAGGGGTTGGGGGTGGGAGTTCAATCACTTTATAAGGGATTCAGTACATCTCGTTATGGACTTAATGGACTTGAATACGACCTTTGCTGCTTTCTTGGCGACCTGAGATGGATAGTATATACTCCTATAGGTATATACACGTGTTCGAATTACTCAAAAGATATTCGAATAGTGGTAGACACGTGTTCGGATATATGTAATTTGTCTAAACTTTTTTCGAATGTGGTTATACAGGTAATTGGATATATGTGTTCGAAATGCCTATAGGCTTTCAAATATCCACTCACACGTGTCCGGATTTATCCAGAGATGTTCGAAAATGCGGATACACGTGGTCGAATATGTGTTCATGTGCTCGTATTTTTCCCCAAGATGATCGAATGTGTTCCAATATGTGCACATACACGAATTCCAATATGGGTAAACGCATAGAAGGAGCTTAGACGGAAGTGGTGACCGAGGCTGACCGAAGGTAAAAGGAACTTGGACGGAAGTAACAGAGGCTGGACGGAGACGAGAGGAACTGGGACGGAATGATAGAGAATGGACGGAGACGAGAGGAACTGGGACGGAAGTATGGGCCTTATGCGTCTACTGGTGGACAGGAAAGAGATGGACGGGGAGGGATATGTAACACCTCTTATTGTAACACACTTGACACGAGAGGCAGACAGACAGAGACAGACAGACAGACAGACAGACAGACAGACAGACAGACAGACAGACAAACAAACAGATAGACAGACAAACAAACAGATAGACAGACAGACAGACAGACAGACAGACAGACAGACAGAGACAGACAGACAGACAGACACAGACAGACAGACAGACAAAGATCTAGAAAGTGATAAAAAGAAAGAGTGACAGATAGATAAAGACAACGACAAACTGATTAATTTATAAAGATAAATACTGAAACTGAGACTGAGAAAGAGACAGAGTAGAAAGAGAAAGGAATAGATAGAAGGAAAGAATTGCAGATAGAGAGAGAGACAGGGAGGAGGAAGAAGAAGAAGGAAGTGTGAGAGGGAAGAAGAGAGGTTGGGAGAATGAGACGGGATAAAGATGTAAACAATAAGAGAGATGAGTACACACACACACACACACACACACACACACACACACACACACACACACACACACACACACACACACACGCGCGCGCGCGCGTATACAAAGATGGAGACAGTCTGTGAGATAAAGAGAGGCAGATAAATGATAAGAATAAGAGAGATACAAAGAAAAGCTGTAATAATGAGAGAGAGAGAAAGAAATGGTTTTGTTTCTGATATTTCCACGACATCTTTAAAGCCTGTCACTTAAATTATCAGGAGTCAGGAATATTGTGGCAGAGAAAGAGAGAGAGAGAGAGACGGGAAGAGGACAGATAGAGAAACAGAGAGAAAGAGAAACAAACTGAAAGACAGACAGAAACAGAGAGAAAGAGAGCCAGACAGACAGAATAGAAGAGAAAAAGAGAGAGAAACAGACACAGACAAACAAGAGGAGAATAAGCTTATTGTTTCTGATTCCCTCCATTTTTTTTTACCTCTGTCATAACCAAACACACCCAACCAAACACACCCAACCAAACACACCCAACCAAACACACCCAACCAAACACACCCAACCAAACACACCCAACCAAACACACCCAACCAAACACACCCAACCAAACACACCCAACCAAACACACCCAACCAAACACACCCAACCAAACACACCCAACCAAACACACCCAACCAAACACACCCAACCAAACACACCCAACCAAACACACCCAACCAAACACACCCAACCAAACACACCCAACCAAACACACCCAACCAAACACACCCAACCAAACACACCCAACCAAACACACCCAACCAAACACACCCAACCAAACACACCCAACCAAACACAGCAACCATTCAATCATCGTTTCAACATCATCACTTGCTTGCAATCTATTCATCCATCACAATTTTCTCCATGCGTTAGTCAGCAGCTATATGAAGGTCTTTTTCCTGACTGACTCGTTCACTGATTGACTTAAAAATTCTCCTACACCCCTGGGCTTGTACGCCAGGCTCCCCTCACTAACGCAGCTGATGACGAAATCCAGTATGTTGTACCTCACATCAACTCATAAAGTAATCATTGAAACAAAAATCTTACTTTCGTTGATGTATGGTCAGACAAAACCAATCCTGTAAATTATGTATCTACTATATATTTTTATCTATATCTATCTATCTATCTATCTATCTCTCTATCTTTGCCACGCAGTATCTGTCTATCTAATTTCTCACTTTATATCTATTTATCTACATACCTCTTTCTCTACATGTTAGAAAAAGCGTATTTAATGAGAAATTTCTGGAGATCCAACACTTGAAATACGCCTTTCAGTATGTTTGGTGATGCGTACCTGGAGGGTATATGTAGTGGTGAGCCTCTACCTGACTATATATATATATATATATATATATATATATATATATATATATATATATATATATATATATATATATATATATATATATATATATATATATATATATATATATATATATATATATATATATATATATATATATACGACAAACGTTTAAATTTTGTCCGTCATCTCTCTCGCCAAATTAAAAATCTTCCCTGGTCGTCAAGTTTTAATTCAACGACTGAAGGTCAAAAAACATGACCAAAAATGATCCATGACTTACACAGCGAGGTCCTAAAAGTGTAATATTGGCGGGTTTTAAAGTTAACTAAAAGTATACACAATAACCTGAGGTATATATTTATAGCGTGTGTTTGTTGGCCACAATGAGCTACAGGTTATATATTACAAAACTATCACTCAAAAATATTTCCAATTGCTACCCAGTAAAAGACGAGCTTGACACAAAAAACACTGGCGGGGTTATTCTATGTCAGGTTAAATTTTTTGACAGGTGTTTTTTAATAGATGTCACATGTGGCAAAACTAACGTTGTATTTTATTGTATCTCCTGATATTTTATGTTGATACACTTCATACTGGAAGGTTTCACTACTCATGTACTTTATATATATCATAAATTATATTAGTAACTCAGTATTTTGTAGTATTTTATTAACGCTTTTACTGATATTTTATACCGAAAAAACTTATAAATGACTTAGTTTATAGTTAACACAAATAAAAAGATACTCGGTAGTTTGGAGAATCGTTTTATTGTATTATGTAATGACATTATATACCGAAACTTTTAATATATAAGCGGTATATAGATAAGAAATAGAACAAAGATATTATTGAAAGACAACACAAATAACAAAACCCAAACTCTTTAACAGGTTTTAAAGTCGATATTATTTTATACAGAAATTATTTTATTGAAAAAGTATTTTACAGATGCAAGAACCAAGACTATTATTGTATTATATTCTTATAGCGCAGTTAACATTTATATTGATATCATCTTTCGTGTTATGAAGATGTTCGGCTCTCTCTATCTCTCTCTCTACGTTTCTTGCTACCCTTTCTCTATTTGTTTATTTCATGCATCGCTTCCCCCTTTACTTATTTTTCTTAGTATTATGTCTCTCTCTCTCTCTCTCTCTCTCTCTCTCTCTCTCTCTCTCTCTGCCTAGGTATATTTTCCAGTAACATCACTCACCCTATTTTTTTCCTTATCGTTCATATTTCTTCCTCCTTCTTTCCTTCATTGTTCCCATCTCTCAATTCCCTCACTAGTTTTCCTTTATTATCTATCTACTTCATTCCACTTTCTACCCATAAAAATTTACCCCAAGTTTATCGTTTTTATGACATTTTTCTCTCTTCGTTTTCTTTCGTTATGCTTCGTATTTCATCCCGTTTCTTCTTTTTTTTACACTAAGTTTTATAAAAATTTTCTTCAGTGATCTGTTTATCTCTTCTCAGTTTCTATCAAATTCCTTATATTTTCAAATCGCTTTTCTCCTTCTCTTTCTCACTTCCTACCACAATTCTCTTTTTCCTCCGTCTTTTCCTATTTTATCAAATTATTTTCATTTTTCTCTTTTCTTTCCCCTCATTTCCTCTTACGACTCGCAATCTTTCTTCGTATATTCCTACTTCTCCCTTTTAGTTTGCAAATCGTTTCTCTTTGTCTTTCTCTTCTTCATCTCCTACCACAATTCGCTGTCCTTGATCTTTACAAATATCCTTCCTTTATTGGCTCACCTGAAGAATCACCACCCCAGCTTATTTCACCTAAAGATTAACCACCCTCACCTAACCCAGCCCAACCTAACCTAACACTATCTAGGAGGGACGAGGTTAGCATCAGGGCGGTTAATATTATTCTCTCTATCACTATACATCATTTCGTTTCATGTCTGGGAAATATTTTAATCACTTCTTTCTAGGTATTAATTATTTCTGTTCATTATTCTTTTTCTCTTATTACTTCTTCGCAGTTCTCGACGATTTAAATGCTCTCTCATATATTGATTTTTTTCCGTTTCTTCTATTCTGTTATCATTGCTTTGTCACTACTATAGTTCTCATTATTTTGGTTATTATTATTATTATTATTGATATTATTATTATTGTATTATCATTATCATTAT